TCGAAGAAAAAGAAAAGATAAAATTTCATTAAAATTATCCTACCATTGAAAAATTAATGCGTCATTTTTATTCGAACGAATCGAGAATAAAAATGTAGAAGAATCAAAGAAAAAGAAAAGATAAAATTTCATTAAAATTATCTTACCATTGAAAATTAATGCCATCATCGTCCATTTCATCGATATCGAAAGAATAAAATATAAAAGGATCGAGGAAAAAGAAAAGATAAAATTTCATTAAAATTATCCTACCATTAGAAAATTAATGCCATCATCGTCCATTTCATCGATATCGAAAGAATGTAGAAAGATCGAAGAAAAAATCCACGTTCCATCGAATATACCAAAATTATCTTACCAAACTTGGAAACTCCACTATCATCTAATTAACTTAATTAAGACCAAAAATAAATAAATAAATAAATAAATAAAATAAAATAATTCCACATTAAATATACCATAAAAATCACTTTACTCCGAGAATCCAGACTTTCAAACTTTACACCAAAAAAAAAAAAAAAAAAAAANAAAAAAAAAAAAAAAAAAAAAAAAAAACCATTATCGCTTACAACCCGATTCTCGACTTTCGGTCGAAAAAAGATTCCAAGGGAGGAAAAACATGGGCAACAACAAGTGGCGGGGGCATCGTTAGCCGTAGCAGCGATTATCAGAAAACCGCGTGTTTCACCGAGATATCGTTGGCCGGCGGCGTGCGTCCCGTGATAACGTCCACGGTATGCCCCGCCAACTTCCTGACACACATCCACCACGCTCCTCCGACCGATCCACCTTCATCCACCGAACGTACACACTGGAGGAAGAACGCCGAGCAGAGGTATTGGAAAAATATCCAAATAAACGAGGATCGGGCCAATTATCACGTTGCCGATTCGCAACCGGTCGCGTTTCTCATTCTCGTTCAACGCACGGGCGGATAAAACGGCCGATTAAGGCTTGTGTCGTCGTTGGAGCGGCTTTTCGAGAGAGAAAACTCGATTAATCGAGGAGGAGGGCACGCTAATTAAGGGTGGAGGTAGAAAAGGAGGGGGAGGCGAGTTTGGATTAGATAAGAGGGACGAGGCGGATCGCCGACTTAATTATCCTTGGTCCATCGTCGTTTCTCAATCGTTGGAAATATGTAGGAGGAGGAGGAGGAAAAATTTTGAAACGCGTCCCGCAGAAATTGCGAGCGGTGCGTGCGCTATATTTGAACCACGTACGACAGGGAATGGAAACGAGTAAGCGATCGAACCAGAATTGGTTCGAACGATCGATTTTATTGACCGAGTTCGACGCAGTCGAACGGGGTTTATTAATAGAAAACTCGCTCCGCGAGTGATATATTGTTCTGTGCGATTTCATAGGCAAGGTGCATATACGTGTTCGTATAAGTCACCGTAAGGACCACTTGTCGCTTTTAAACTTGATATTTCTTCAAAACAGAAGTTGCGAATATGAGAGATATATATCGTAATTTATATCCTCTTCGTGAATCACAGTTGTTATTAAACGATCATTTTACATTATATACAAATAATTCAGATAGTTTATCAATCTATGGATCCGAGAATCGTATACGTAACAATTTTTATTCGTCCGTACGTTTATTAATATTCAACGAGTAACAAGTTTTGGTTTCTCGAAGCTCGTAAAACTCGCACATGTTGGATCATCTCGCGCCCAGAATATAGGGAATCGTCGTACTTAATTACAATTCGCAATCGTTATTATTATTATTATTATTATTATTACGATCAAGGTAAATGAAATTTCACGGAACGAAAATCGACGAACGAGCACAGACTCTCTCGATCGAGATCGAGATCGAGTTACTTTCTCACTTCGAGGCGTTAATTCACGAGATCGCCGCGGCTTTTCGCCTTTCGTCCGTTGGAATCGAGCGGAGGGAAATTACGCGAGGAACATCTGTTCTCCTTCTTCAAATCCCTTCGACCAGTCCGAGTCCATCGATAAAAGGCCATCGACGAGTATGAATAAGGCGCTCGACGTCTTTTTTATTTTTTTATTTTTTTATTTTTTTATTTTTTTTCTCGCCACGATTCTCGTTATCCGGCAACGATTCGCACGCGTTCGTGCGATCGAAACGAGATGGAGACGCGCGGATCGTTCCAATCGGATCGTTCGCAACCACGCGAATTGCCACGGAACCGAAACCGCAATTAGCACAGAATGTTTCGTGTACTGTTAAACGCGCAGTCGACTGTGTCCACACTTTTTTTTCCCATTTTTTTTTTCTTTCTCATTTTTTGAGAATTTGCTTTACGCTTTAGCTTAATCTCAAGGATTACGAGAATAAAGCGAATAATAACCTGGCGCGAAAATTGGTTGGGATGATAAAAATGTAAATTTTTTTTTCCTTTTTTTTTTTTTCCTTTCGCGGTTGAAGGTGAAAATTGGCGATATTTAAGAGACAAGTTGATGTAAAAATCTCCTCTCTTTTTCTTCCTTCGCGCAGAGAAGAAACAGTGTTGGAAAAATTAAGAAGCAACGCTAATATACACGTGTCGTGAATTGCATTAAGCAGAATTAGACACTTTGCGCGAAGAAAGAAATAGATGAACATGTGAATCGTTATTAAGATTCAACCCAGAAAATTTAAACAAGTGCTTTCCAATCTTCCTTAAAACACGATCTTTCTACGACTAACCAAATAATAAGTTTCTGCAAAGCGACGATTTATACTTTCGTACATCACAAAAGAAGAAATTATAACACGATCCCTTTCGTAACTCGCAAAAAAATTAACGATTACCTATGAGAAAAAAATTCATTATTATTCTTCTACAGCACATAATTCTAATACACCAATTTTTTAAAAAACGGATCGTTAGATTGTCCTGAAAAAGGAAACGTTTGTAAAAATTGTAAAAATCCATTACTCGAGTAACAAATTACTCCCTCGTTCCAGTGTATTTCCAATACGAAATCATTCATACAAAACGTAAGAGGGACAAAAAGAAAGACATAATTTTAATACACAAATTTTTTAAAAAACGGATCGTTAGATTGTCCTGAAAAAGGAAACGTTTGTAAAAATCCATTACTCGAGTAACGAATTACTCCCTCGTTCCAAGTGTATTTCCAATACGAAATCATTCGTATAAAACGTAAGAGGGACAAAAAGAATACATAATTCTAATACACAAATTTTTTAAAAAACGGATCGTTAGATTGTCCTGAAAAAGGAAACGTTTGTAAAAATCCATTACTCGAGTAACAAAGCTCTCAAAGTATTTCCAATACAAAATCATTCGTACAAAACGTAAGAGGGACAAAAAGAATACATAATTCTAATACATCAATTTTTTAAAAAACGGGTCGTTAGATTGTCCTGAAAAAGGAAACGTTTGTAAAAATCCATTACTCGAGTAACGAATTACTCCCTCGTTCCAAGTGTATTTCCAATACGAAATCATTCGTACAAAACGTAAGAGGGACAAAAAGAAGAGAAAGAAACGAAAGAACGAGCATTCCACAGGAGAAATAATGGAGTCGAGGGAAAGAGAATCGAAAAGGATATCGAACTCGATTCTATTTGAAAGGAAGCGGCGAGTGAATAGAGGGAGGGTGGGGGGAGAAAGAGAGGAGCGAGATTCCCTCGAATCCGTCTTCGACTCTCTTCGGTGATATCTACATGAACAAAACGGATCAAGGCTTGGAACCGGTTGCCAGGAAGCAAGCAACAGCATCGCCGGATAGCTTCTCCGCTCGAGATATCCCCTACTTAGAGAGAAGTGTCTTCGACTCGCGGCCTCGACCGTGCGTTCAACGGGTGTGTAATCCACCCGTAAGATTTATCATTAACCCGCGCGTGATTCGCTTCGGCTGAGAAAATTTATTTATAAACTTAACTGCGAGCGAGCGAGTTGCGACGCTTTACAGGACAAAAAAATGTAATTCGATCTTTCCTTCCTTTTTATTTCGCGGCTATCAGTGAAATTTTATTACATCGAAGAATATTTCTTCGAAAAGAAACGAGGGGAAGAAAAGAAAAAGGGAGGGAAGAGGAATTCATTCAAAAATTAAAAACTCTTTTAATTCTCTCGTTCATCTCGTTCCATTGATTGTTGGAGGTTTATTTTTGTCGCGGTGATAAAAAATAAAAAAAAAAAAGAGGAACTTCCGTAGTTTCTCTAATTAATTAACACGAATGCGGAAATTAATTATTTTTCACGATACGATCGAAGGATGATAAAATAAGTAAAACGTTTATCTAACTTACCATAATTCTTCTTAATTGTTACGCAAGAATGGAATAATAATTTAGAAGGAAGAAGTTTAGAGAACGAAATTTCGTTCGAAATAATATTTCCTCTCTTTCTCTCTCTCTCTCTTTCGAGAGAAGTGGCTCGTGCTCGAAGAGGAAGCGTGTCAGGGTCAAGGGTCGGCCGCTTCTGGAACAAGACTCCTCCCCTTCCCCTTTCCCTGGGGAGAGTCCCACCAACTGCAGGAAGTGCATATGCTCCGGCGGGGATGCAGGTTGCACTCCTGCGGCCTCGACATCTGTTACAATCTGTCCGTGCTTAAGTCACGGCCCGACTATTCGTCACAACGTCGTTAATCCCGTGCGAGTCCGAATGATCGCGAGATCCCCCATCGGTGTCGGTGTTCGACTTTCAATGGGGGAGAAACGCGTGCCACGATGCCTCGTACGTACCTTTTCCATTCACAAATTCCAACGAGGAGATCACGTGACTTCTCTTCTCACACTCTTCTCACAACAAACGAACGAGTGATCCCATCGATTGATCGTTTCCGAAAAATTCCGATGAAAAATTGATAGAAGACATCTAATACGAGGTTATCTAGGAGGAAAGTTGAACAGAAGCGATGTTCGAGCGAAGACATTAGAGAATTAGAGGAAAGATCTTTCGAAAACAACGAACGTTATAACGTGTGTGAAGAGAATAGAAAACTCGAGAGCGGGAAAGATTAAAAGGGAGATGACTGGTGAACGCTCGCAACGCTCGGTTCCATACCTCTGGGCCTGGCGAAGGACTTCATGGCCTTGATTCCCATTCCGGCGTAAGCGTCGCCTCCGTAGTCAACGTACATGAGTGCCGTCCTCGCGTGCTCACTGTACATACACGAATTCCCGGATCACTGTCATTCACTCGCTCTCTCCCGCCCTGTACTCGTGCGCTCGTAATCCTCCTCCACCTCCTCCTCCGCGACCGCGCGTGCACTCCGCGACCACGTAATGTCCTTTCGTTACATCACTCGGTGGGGCAACACTCGGGGGGAGGAAATCGGTCCAAGGGTTGAAGTTCCGATCGATCCAGCCAACGAGGAGGAGATCGACCAATTCCATCGATCGAGCGGGATCACCGCCGCCCGCGGAGGAAACGAAGAGGAAATTCCTCTTCTATCCCATGCCTACACCATCCACAGCTGTTCTACTATTCTCCGCCCGTCTCTGCCCTCGGAGGCCGTCAGTGGCGCCCTTCTCGAGGAGACTTGACACGAGTCGAACGCGCCATCGAGTCACCGCTCCATTCCTTCTTCTTCACTCTTTTTTCTTTCCTTTGTTTTCTTTCACCAAAAAAGTTCCAAGCGGAAATTTTTATTATTTCTCTCTCTCTCTCTCTCTCTTTCTTTCCTCTCCTCGTCGAGTCGAGAGGGAGAGGAAGAGAGGAAAGGTCGAGGGAGGGGAAAGTCCGTAGTAACGGGAAAAAAAAAAAAAAAAAAAAGAGAGAAAAGTCACGGTCACACCACGCTCCGAAGAGAATCACTACGAATCCCCGGGACAGTTTTCTTCCCCTGTCCTCCGCTCCATGTCCTCCGCACCGCGGAGAGGACGCGCGGCGGCAGGTGAGCAGCAGCGCAGGTCGGCGAAGAAGAAGAAAGACTGGTCGGCCGGTGTGAACACGGCGAAACACGAGGCGGGTAGTAGTAGTGGAGGAGTAGTAGTAGTAGTCGTCGTCGTCGCGTCTTGTGGAAGCCGGTCCGCGGCGGCGTGTCCAGCATGTGTTTGCTATCAATTCATAACCGCGGCCCACGGGCTATTTCCGAATACCTGCTTGCGCAACCATGACCGGCCGAGGGGGGAGGAGGAGGAGGAGGAGGAGGAGGAGGGTTGCCGCGGTCCGGAGAGCGAAACGGAAACGAAGAGGCTCGATCGCGCAGGAACGGGGGGGGTCTGGCTCCGAAAATACGCGAGGAGAAAAAGGCTGTTCCAGGCTTTCTCGAGACGATCCAGTCCCAGCGGAGCGCGAATTTATCCGTCCATCCTCCGGGGAGGGGGGGAGGGGATCGTCATTTATCACCATCCACGTTTCCCCCTATTTCTCGTCAACTCGAGCGAGCACGCATGCACGCACGCAAGCACGCACGCACGCACGCACGCACACACACGCGTCGTGGAAGAAACGGGTGTCGAAGGCACCGATGGTCGAAGAACGACAAAGACGACGACGACGAGTAAGAGAAACGCACCACCACTGTACTCGTACTCGCGATCGCGAAAGCGACAGATTTTTACGCTTTCGGACGATCCTCGGATGAAGGATGGAGCGCGATCTTGGAAGAGAGTAGTGTAGCAGTACTTTGGGCCGAAGCGCCACCGTCGAGCACGTACGACCGCGTTCCGCAGGTAAGTGCGTACGCGAGGAGAGAGAGACGGAGGGCACAGGGCAGGAAGCGAGGAGAAGAGGAGGTAGGATAGAAAAGAGAGGGAGAGGGAGGGAGAGTTGGAGCGAGCGAGGCAGCCGGACGAAGAGGACGTCGAAGAAGAGGTGGAGGAGAATCGGTAGGAGAAGGAGGAGATGGTGGTGGAGGGAAGAACAGAAGAGAGGAAGATGGGAAGACAGACGGTGTCGTGGGGGCAGAGAGGGGATCGAGAGAGTTTATTCGAGGCAACGGGTCGTGGGGGACGTGGTGGCGGCGGTGGCGGCGGCGGCGGCGGAGTTGACGGCGGAGGTGGACGCGTACCGTGGGTTATTCCTTGTCCTTCGCCCCGTTCAATCGCGCAGATTCGCCTGTTGGCCGACCGACGAGATAACGACGACGTCGAAGATCGCTGGGGATCGTCGACGTGTGCACCGAGCCAAATATGACCTCGAGTGTGGCAACAGGGTGGAGAGAAGAGGAGGGAACGAAGAGAGAGAGAGAGAGAATCTTTTGGATACGATAGCTACCCGTTCCGTTTATAACAGAGAACGGTAGCGGGTCTGGATGGAGATGGGTGGATTTTGAAGGTTAAACGTCAGACGATCGTAGGTGATTTTTTTTTTAATTTAAACTGGGGAATCGAGTCAAACTTACTAAGAAGAAGAGCGTCAACTTTTTCCCCGAAGAAACTCGAACTGTTTCGGTTCACGAAAACGTGAAATGTGAAAAAAAAAAAACAAACACGAGGAATTAAAAAAGAAAAAAAAAGAGGAAAAACCGTGTACGGCACCCGGTCTCGGATAGAGACAAAGAAGAGACGATCGACCGATAGGCGAGAACGAACGCGCGAAGAAGAGAAAAAGAGAGAGGAAAGACGCTCGAGTGTCTCTCGAGGATCCCCACCAATCCCGGTGCACGCTGGCCTAGCCTCACTCCTCGCCAAGTTTTATGAATGAATACTCTCCTGTCGACGCGGCAAACTCACACTGGCGTCGGCGCACACGACCACCCGCTTCCCGTCTCGCTCCTACCACCCGAGTCTCCCCACTCCTCCCACCTTTTTCCTTCCTTCTTCCTACCACCTTCGCCGTCTTTATCAATTACGCTCCTCCATCCTCCTCGCTCCACCTCGAGAATACCTTTCTCTCTCTCTCTTCCACCTTCTTTCTCTCCCGTATCTCTCCATCCCTCTTCCATCCTTTCGTCCTCTTCCACCGCTACCATGTCTCGTATATACATCCGTCTTTTTTTATCCGCCTCTTCTTTCGCGTTCGCCTCTCTCTCTCTCTCTCTCTTTCCCTCTCTCGCGCGCACCGCCACGTATACGCGCTCCATCATCGTCGCTCCAACGCTCGAGGATGATCGGCGCGAGCGAATGTACGCGAGGCCTCTCACGCACGAACACGCGCACAGAGACGAGGCCGTTCCTTCATTCGGTCGGTTCGTTCATTCATGCCTCGGCCACACGTTTCAACAGTGTAGTCTGCCCGGCTGAAACTGCCTCCCACCATCCAACTGCCGCCACCGATTTTCCTTCTGCCTCTCGCTGCCGCTGACGTCGCGACCAACGCAAAAAAAAAAAAAAAAAAGAAAAAAAAAAATACTCTATTCACGGGCCGACGCTCTCGCTCGCGCCAACATTTTCTGACGCGTCCGCATCGTCGACAGGGGGCGGTTTTCCCCGTCACCCACGTGCGGAATGAATGAATTCTCGAGAAAGGATTCTCCGCAGTTTCGTTCCGAATGGAATTTCTACAAAATTTAATCCTCCTAATTTATACGTCTTCTCTTCAAATTTTTCCTTCTTCCTTTTTCCTCCCCTAATTTGATACAATCATCTTATTCGGTATACCATATATCTCTTCTTCTTCTTTTTTTTTTTTTTTTTCTAAACAACGAGATATCAGAATACAACAACAATCTCAAGGATATCTTAGATGGGATAATTACTTCTAAATCTGATCGATTACTTCTAAATCGTCACGAGGCTTGGAAAATTATTGGACCTCTTCTCTCTTGCAATCCAATTGAAAAAAAAGAAATCAACTCTTAGCTTCCTTCTCCAAGCTAAGAGAGAGAGAGAAAAGGGGGGGGTAAAAAAAAAAAAAAAAAATGGGTAGAACGGTTTCATTGAGAGGATCAGCTCGCGGCCGGTGCACGGAAGTCGCCTCGTAATACACCGGGAGCCCGGTTTTCAGCGGAATAATCGACGAGGATACGTCTTTGGATTGGGTGGAAGGCGAGACGTAATTACGCCGTACGCTCGAACGCAAACACTATTTAACAACGTCGGTAATTTCTGCTCGTGTCCCTCCGCTCCGTTCCCGCGCCACAACGATGTCGAGGATGTTGCCTCGCTGTGATTAATGTGAAACTTCTTGCTCGCGGGCAAGGCTAAAAATTTCTTACGGGACGTATTTCCGCCAGCTCTCGGGACCATTCATAAACTCCTCCTCCTCCTCCTCCTCCTCCTTCAGATATCGAGGGATAAACGATGGAAAAACTTTTATCGAATCGCCCGGCATATCGGAGGCGTTCATTTTTAATTCGACGCGAGAGAGGCGTGACTCGTATCGCAACGGTTTTTATTTTAATGGAGAACGTTTTTTTTTCTTTTTATACCCTTTGTAAGACGAAATCTTCGACTGTGGTCGATTTTGAAAGAGGAATTCGTTTCGATTCCAGTATTATTATAATACTGGAATAATACGATTACGGTATTATTATAATAGGATAGGGGGGGAGGGGGGGGGGGGGGGACAAATTATTTCGGAGGAGGATTATTCGACAGGAAGACAAGTTTAAAGACAAAATCAAACGGAAACGCTTATCCAGAGTAACTAGAGCGTGGATTAATTGGAGAGTTGAAGGGTGGTACGGAATAATTAGAAAGCTATTAGGAATAGAATGACTTCGAGCGAAGCCACGATTACCATATGATTTATGAATCCGTTGGAGAGACGACGCGTCGCAACGAGAGGTTAAGGGATAAGCCCGGTTTTACCGAGTCGTAATAAACGCGATTAATAAATCAGCGTCGATCACTTGTTTGAAAGAAGCGTGTAAGATGATCTTGAGAAAAAATTTATTAAGAAGAAAAATTTTCTCGAAACAACGATTTTCTCCGTTATTCTTCCGGATGGAAATTTTTCGACGCGGAAATTTCGACGATGAAAAATAATATACGAAATCCGTGAAATCGATATACACGAGAGATCGCTATGGATAAGCCAAATTATTGGTTCAACCGCGCACGTGGAAAATTTACATCAATTTTCATATCATAATACACACACAGGATGCGTGGATCAACAATCGTGGATAAACGTTCGTTCTTTTTCGAAATACGTTCCAACGGAAAGTAAAATTACATTTAGAATTCTCGAACAGGAATTTGCGATTCTGCGAATCGAGCGGATCTTTCGAAAATATTCTATTATTGAGGGAGGGAGGGAGGGAGGGGGGGAATATCGGAGTCGATAGAGAAAGATATGGATAGTTTTATCGCGTGGAAATACGAAACGATATGGATCGTAAATTTTGAACCATGCCTATTGCATTTTTTGCTACGTACAGTTGTGTGCACACGAGGCCCTCCTCCTCCTCCTCCTCCTCCTAGCGGTCAGCCTTCTTTGCCAACCGGTTGCGCGGCATTCGTTTCGATAAATTAACTCGGGAAACGTTTCGCCGACTTTGTAGAGTCCGGATCTTGCCTCTCCTAATCACGGGCAACAGGTGCGTCAACCGATAAACAGGCGGGCAAATAATACTCTCGTTGTGGGCGAGGAATGAAAAAAGAAGAGATTTTTTTGTATATTGTTATTTTTTACCCAAAGAAAAAGAAAAGAAAAGAAAAATAAATATTCCTTTCAAATGAGAAAATCTGATATCGCGTTATTAAAAAACGGTAGACAAGATCGAACGCGACAACTCGTTTCGATCATTTTTTTTCATTTCCGAGAACGAACTGGTTTCCTCGTGTTTACTATCAAACCGTGGGAAATGAATTTCGCGCTACAATTTAATTTATCTCCCGCATTCTCCTCCTCGATTATCGATTCATTGATAATCGACTTTTTAAACCGCTCGTTTCTTCAACGAGATATTTATCCTTATCTTCTCTCACAACTCTCTCACAAGATAACGGCGAATTGCAAAATTACTTCTTACTTCCTTAAAAAAAAAAAAAAAAAAAAGAAAAGAAAAAAGAGAGAAAGAAACATCGAGATAAAGGTAGAAACAATCAAGGAGACGATCGAAAAAAAAGACTCTAAAAATCTAAAATCCTATCTAAAAATCTCAACTCTTAAATCTCGAGGTAGCAGCGGAGTTGGAGGCAGCGTCCGAAAGGAGAGGCCGACCCCGTTCGTGTCCCATTCACAAATCCGCTCGGTCGCGAGTCTATAATCCGCTCGGCTGGACGGCCGAGAACCCGGAAGGGAGCGCGAGAAAATCGTAACCGTCGATCAGCCGGCGGTGGATATTAATAAAGGCGGAAGGAGGAGCGAGATGGAAAGGGAAGGAACGAAGAAAGGCAACGAGAGCATCGAAGAGGCACACAGCCTCCGCCGCTCGGAATAATGAGACGGAGGCGCGAGCCAGGCCTTTCAAAAGGAAAGAAATGACACGTAGAACGAGTGATGAAGAAGGACGAGCACGGGCGAGCCGAGGGAAAGGAGTCGAAGGAGGAGGAGGGCGCGAGATGATCGCAGGAGGAAGGAAGTAGCCTGTCCAGAAGCAATAGCAATAACAACAACAACAACAACAACACCTACGGTGTTCGATGGAGTGAAAGAGAAAGAGAGAAAGAGAGAGAGAAGAGAAGGGGAAGATGCATACGTAAGAAACGGAGGAGGATGGAGCGGATGATAGAGAGCAGAAGCTGTTCCATGGTGTACACTTGCCGAAGGCTGGGCAGGTTTTTGCCCGTGTTTTTTACG